AGTGGTTTCAGTGAACATTCTTATTTTGCACTTCAGCTCGTTGTCTGTTAAACTGTACGTACTTCATCAATATTTTATAAATAAATATATATAAATAATATATATTAGATGAAAAACACGGGGAAAGCAAAGGTCCATTGTTTATATATCTGGCCACAAGATGAAGAAACCAACGGGCAATGTCACAGTTGGCTGCATCCATCTTTTATATATGGTCTATGGTACAGACACTTATCTGCACACTGCATATCTGGTGTTTCTTCACCATAACGCTCATAATTTGTCAGCTGTTATGTCTCCTAATACTTGAATAACAATTTTAAAGACTCCCACAACTAGTAGTGCTGTGGAGCCACTGGTTGTTGCTTACAGGTGGGGACATGTATCTGTACTTAACTGCATGTCATGGTAAGTAAACTGAATGAAGAAAACTCCACAGGGTTCTTTTAATATTGTCCGATACGCCGATATGCGTAATCAGTTGATTACATCAACATTTTATATTGTGTGTGTGTTTAGTTAGATTCGCAGCCATTTAGCTGAGTTACCACGAAACATTTACAAAGATCAGTATCAGCCTGGCTGTGATCTCTGCCACAAGTAGTAAAGCAAGCTAAGCTTGTTTGACTATCCGCTACAAAGTAGTGAAGTTTCTTTAAAGAACAACTGAAAAAAATGTTACATTTTAACAGCTATGAAAGCGGCCTTTGCAGAGTTCTAGTCAAATATCTGGTCTGTACCGCCCCCAAGTGGCGCTTCTCTTATATTGACGGGCGGCTGCTTTACAAACCTCACAGATATTGACGTTGTTTTGGGTGGAAACAGATATTCTGTGTACACATATCTACATTTCACCTTATGAACAGAGCGATAGGTCAAATATCCTATAACATTTGCCCAAATCCATTCATTTAAACCATCCAGAATGTCCAAAAAACTTCTGTAGAAAATGCCTTCTAAAGATAATTTTTTAGGTGTAGCAGAGCCGTTATTAATCTTTTTTTAAATATTTTATTGTATTTATTTATTTAATCTTTTTGTCAAATGTGGCTTTCTGGTATTGTGGTTAAAAGATCTGTATTATACGTGAAAGATTCCTGGTTTGGTACTGTGAGGATACACAAAACCCACCCGCAGAGGGTCATTAGCTAGTTCACAAGCCCTGATAGTTGGGAAGTCTGTCTCATGAAGAGCATCCGGTGTAAAATCTGTGCCAAATCAGACATTTGGATCATTTTGCTGTGGTGACCTCTTGGGAAATAAGGGAGCAGCTGAATGTAGCTCTGGTTAATTAGTATATAATAAAACCTGTTACTGCAGGGTTGAAGCGAGTAGCATTTATAATTTTCTAATCCTGGGTTAGTGAATATTTTTTGCTGCTGTAATACCGTGAAATTATCATTTCTTCTCCAGATGTGCACAAATGTGGGTTTAAAAACCCGATACGGTGTTTCCGTTTCGTGCTCACAGTTTCCACTCTTTATAAGACATTAAAGACCAGTTAGAAACACTTATGTGTGAACAGATCTTTGCACCATCTGGTGCCTTATTTGAACTTGTATGACTCAAAGTCAGCAGGTTTCTGACACTGGGGGCGTTCACGTGCAGTGGGATGTTCCAGTACTTTTTAACTGAAATAAAACTGACCTCAGCATGGGCACACCTCTCCACATGCCTTGAACTGGCTTTGACAGCTTTTGCACAGGACAGGCAAGATTAAAGATTAAAGTGTGCAAACAGGAATATAACATGTTACACAAGCAAGATCAAATTGCATCAATTTACTTTACTCGTGCTTTTGTCCGCAAGTGAGTCAAACTAATAAAAGAAATGATTTGATTCAGGTAAACAAAAGTAATTCCAGTGACATACAACATGTTGCTCCAATGATGCAGTGGTGCAGGTTGAGGTGTTATCCTTTTCTGCTCCAGTTACATTTGATAACACTGATAATAGCAACTTGTGAGGTGATAGATGCACCACTGTGTTGCCCAGCTATTTGTATACATTGACTTACACATTTATTAACCTAACTACATGTGAGGTTAGTTAGTGTTCTACCCTGTCCTAGTTTAGTGGTAATTGGCCTCAAAAAAAGCACTGGACTGGCTTTTTGCACTGCAAGCTGCATCCACACACCTAGATGGACAGATCGGGGGGTAGTGACGGTTCACTGTCTGTCATGATCCAAGCAGCCAGGAACACACAGGCACAAATGTAATCTTCAAAAAAATGGGTTTTATTATACCCTCAAAAAGGACAAGATGATTACCAAAATTCAAAATAACAAAAATAAAGTTTTTAAGAACCAAGTGGACCCATAAAAGAGGTTAACTTAACAGAACGCTAGTCAAAAGTCACTTAACAAAAACATAACTCAACAAACTGACCTACCCAAATGAGAAACAGCTCCAGTTATATAGCAAATGAATAAACCATTATATACACCAAAGGTGAAAACTAAAGAGATAACAGCTAACCATCATTCAAGAAGAACCCCATTCCCCCTGCATGATCGCAGTAGATGGTCCAGTCCACTTTATTGGCTTCTGCATTTAAACCAGCTCCACCCTCAGCCTCCTCTTTCAGCCAAACCAGGAAGGACTGGAGCGGAGGTCAGGTAACTCAGAAAGAGCAGAAATATAATCAATATAACATACCTATATAAAATAACAAACAATGCAAAGCAAAGTCTATGCCACCATTTGGGCTATAGCTTAGTGCTGTCATGCATTACAGGTAAACTCAAAATATCAAATTAGTTAACTTATGATCACAGAAGCTTTAGAGCATAACGTAAACATAAGACAAAAGACCAAATGAATATTACCTAAGTATCTCAGTTGTGTGGTTGCATGCATCCATCACACTGTCTTACCTGAAGACCTTATGAGTGTTGGACAATGTGCTCTAAATCTCGAGCCACCATAAAAAACAGAATATTTGGGGACCTTAGTGGAGAGCCAGGTAACCAGTGAAGTGGTCCATCTGGGAGATGTGACTAAAAACAAAAAGTATCATTTGTACTACACTCTGCACAAATTAGTTCAATTGAAATCAGTTGTAATTATATAGCGCTAACTAACAACAACAGTCACCTCAAGGATCTTTATATTGTGAGGTGAAGACCCTACAGCAACACAGAAAACAACCCAACAATCAGATAACTCTGTATGAGTGAGTGGGAAGGAAAAACTCCCTTTTAACAGGAAGAAATCTCCAGTAGAACCAGGCTCAGGTAGGGGAAGCCATCTGCCGTGACTGGTTGGGGGTCTAAGGCTCATCTATTTGTACTCAAACGGCTAGTGGGTTTTATCAAAAGAAGTAAATAAAAGAATAAAATAAATAAACAAAAGCAATTTCCTTTTAATGTTACTTTATCGTCTGCACAAGAAGGGAAATGCAGAGGTATGCAAAGTATGCAAGACCTGGATTGAAAACCAGTAGGGAACAGGTCTGATGAATCCAAATTTGAAGGTTCTGGTGCAACAAAAACTTGCAGAAACTCTACAGTGACTTGCAATATCTACAGTCACCTGTAAAACACGGTGGAGGCTCCATCACGGTTTGTGCTAGAAACCGGCAAAAGGTGTCAGGTGTTTTTTTTCCCCCCAGAAATCTCTGCACCTGTTTCCCATTTCCTGGAAAAATATGAAGAAATAAGGGGTGGCACAATACTCAAAAGTAACAGTTTTTTGGATGTAATGGACAATCCTGGAAGCTAACTAGCTATCTCTGTAGCCTTTAAATTACATTATTTATTACAGTTAAATATATTTGCTTCAAATTTCAAATGAAAGATTAATTGATGATAAAAAGGCAAAATTAGAAAGACTGCTTCCCGTACCTTATTAGACTGGAATACTCTAAGGAGTATCTGATTTACTAATCCTGAAAATCTTCCATGAATGATGAAAATGTCCAAAATTGGAATCTGGTTGCAAGAATAAAAGCAGTTAGGAAGACCTTTTGTAAATGTTCCAGCATACGAGTGAGAGTACATAGCGTATCTAATCCAAACTTCAAACAGCAGAGAACAACAGAGCAGGAGTCAGGCATGTTTGGTTTATAGCAATGTTGTCTTTTATTCTAATTTCCAATAAACAGAGAATATATCAGTCCCTTATTTGTACAAAAAATACCTGAAAAGGATACAATGTAGATCCAGGAGCCGCACAGACAGAATGAAGCAAAGCACAGTGGAGGAGCGTACGTGAGAAAAAATGATTACAGTTCATTTGATCCTTTGTTTTTGTTTTTTCCTCCCTGAAATTTTATATTTGACTTCAACTTATGATGACTTTGACCCAGCAATAAAAACACTGAGTTAGCTTCACTTGCACCTATAGTGTAAGTCACCGAAGTTCAGTGGGACTGACGTGTGACGTCCACATTAGCATTTAGTTCCGGTAAGGCTGCATTTCACAGTCACAGCTAATTTGAAACGCAGTGTGAGAGTGGACGGACGGCAACTAGGGAGCTGTGACCGTTTCAGAAAGAGGCACGTGCTGCGAGAGAATACAAAAAAATGTTACGCACCTTTAAGAAAAATAATCACACAACATAGACATTATAATGAGATGCACAATCCTCTGGAGCTACAGCTTATAATTGCACTACTTGTGATGAAAAGCTTAAGAATTAGCGTGTGCGCTCTCCATCAAAAAACAATGCTCTGTGTGTGTGTGTGTGTGTGGGCTTAATATCCAAACATGGAGTATAAATGACAGAGAGGGAATACTGAAAGAGTTGAAACCTGGCAGAGATGAAGACTCCGACAGCCTGTCAGCTTATAAACACAACTGAAGTTCAGAAATTTGACACGTGCCAAAAATCCAGTTTGATTTCTTAAAATAAAAAAAAAATATGTTTAATTTAATTAATACTGTATATGCTGTGGTATACGTCATTTTGTGGCAAACCAAAGACAATACACAATAAAGTCATACACACAATCATATAATAAAAAAAAGGAAAAAACAAATCATTCTTCATTTTACATGGAGTTATGAGCAAAAGCATAACAGCCCATACATAGTGATCTGTGACCTAGGTACAGTGTTAGATCTACATCTTCTCCATAGCTTCACATACTTTGAAAACAAGACTTTATACTGGTATATATTCATATGATTGGACTTCTGTGAACGATTGCATTGTAGCACAGTGACTTAAAAAAAAATGGAGGGAGGACGGTGATTTTGTCCCCGCTGACCCATAGTGACGTGGCTTTCATCCTCTGTCAGACAGGGAAGAACCTGTACTGATGACTGGGAATGCTGGGAAACTTCCAGTCAAACTCCCGTCTCCTCTAAATCTGCAGCTTACCCCCCCGACTTTACCAGACTGTCTTTTTACCGCCTCTAAAAGGGCAAGCGCGTTAGCCAGCAGACTTCCTGAAGAGTGAATATAACAGTCTGGTCATCCGCACACCAACACATACATTTACCACAGGGTCATATAGCTTACAGGCTGGACACAGGTGGGAGAGGGGGGCGGGGGATTCAAGCATTATCCAATCCCTGGAGAGAGTCTGACCTGACTGACCAAAAAGGCCTGATTGGTGGATTGCAGAGCTGGTGAGTTGTTTAAGTCACGCGATTAGTTGGCTGGTGGCGGCAGTGGATTGTGTGTGTGTGTCTGTGTGTGTATCAGTGTCGGTGCTTAGAGTCTGTCGATCTCATTCTAACCCTGTGAATCTGGGGTAGGATGGATGGAAACTGCAGGTGAGGGCGGGACGAGTGCTGCACAAAAGCAGGTGTTATGTCACACGGGTTCAGTTGGTCATGTGACAGTCGGAATGACAAAAGGGTTCCTCGTCTCCTTTCTTGGGCATCTTTTTCCTGTTACTATAAATAAGGTTAAAAATAAACTAACTCGTGATCTGTTTAAGCTACTTCAAGAGGAATTTCTATGTGAATCTAATTCTTTGGAACTGATCTCTATGCTGACTATTACAGATTCATTTTTAGAGACCTGGCAACAGCGTCAACAATTGGCATTTTCTCCTACATGTCATGAATTGGTTGATGACAGCTCGTTTATTTTCAGTAGACCAACTTTTTCTGCTTTACCTGCTATGTGTAGTTTTCAGTTCATTTTCCAGACTGCTTAAGGAGCGCCTGTGGGATGATCCTATGTAGGTGAATCCAAAAGTTAGCGTTACCCTGGTTCCCTCAACAAAAAGCCAGTAATGGGACCAAATGACACAAAAAAAATGGAGGGAAGGGTAGAGGGGGAAAAAAGCTTATGATACCGACTGATTCACAAACTGATGCCACTTTAATGAGTTTTGAACCATGAATGCTAAGATTGGGCATAAGGTTAAGGTTCTGTGTTTAGCATTTAGCCACCAATTAGCAAACTCGTTCTCTGCAACATACATGTGGTATGTTCTAGTATAAAGCTAGCGTTCAACCAAAAATTCAAGGAAACCGAAACAGTAAAATGGTAACACATTTTGGACACATTCACGTGACAAATGTTTTCCATGACATCTACTATCACAGCAGCTAGACCTACAGACTAACCATCGCTAATATCCAATTTAGTCAATTTAGAAGATTTTGGTCAATTTTTGGTGTACTGAGATTTCTCACGTGGCATCAATTTAGAAACGATACAACCACTGGTTGTCAGGGAAACATATTTACGGACTGGTTGGTAGTACTTCCAGGAGGTTGGTGGCTCTCGCTGGGTGAAATCAGTTCCAAAGTAGATGCTATAATGGAAACCTCCCAATGACTCCTTTGGTTGCTAGCATATTTGCATCACTGCGTGTCATGTATGTCTGAAAGATCTTTGTAATTACTCTCTGAGCAGTAGTAAATCTCTATCTCACAAACCAGAGATAGAGAGGATTCCTTCTTCAAAGTAAAAGTTGTGCTTGAGATCTACAACCAGCATGTTTCAAAAAAGGACAACTTTTACATAAAAGCAAATACTCCTTGTTTCCTTTTGTTGCTGCACTTTTTACAGTTTCCAAAATGTTTTCCATACTGACAGGTGGGTCATTGGGGAAAAATAGGGGTCACTGACCACTCAGAATGCATGTGTGACTGAGACTTTATTTTTCGAGTGAAAACCATCAACCTCCATTAACTACTTGCAAGCATTCAAGTTATTTCCCCATCATGACCAGTGGTTTCCAGCTGGTTGCAGACCAGTCTGTAGGCTTGTGTGATTGGGGCCTTGTTCACTTTATCCTACATTGTCACATGTCCAAAATGGCCAACAAGTTAATGTCACATGGTTAGGGGTCACGCGTCTACAAAAAATAAAGAATGAAAAAAAATCTCAAGAACCAAAGGTGACAGCTAGTACAACAATCTGAAACTGGAGGTTCAGTTCACTAAACCTGTTATTTGAGAAGCTTGAATAATTGAATACTTTTACTTTTTCAAAATGAAAGAACAAAAACAAATACTTGCTGGCCCTTAATTTACTCAAACAATGACCTGGTACTACTAAACTAAGTGAAACCCCTCTGTAATGTTAGCTTCCTATGTCTATGTAGCGGTGGATTTGTTGTTTGATGGATTGGTTGTGAAATCAAGAAAGAAGCCATTTCTGCTTGATTGTAATTTAGCGACCCTGTTGATGTTTAGCAATGGTGCTCACTTCATGCAGCTAATGGAAATATCTAAATATAGAGTTGACTGACATTTTATCCAGATCTGAGATTGCATCACCAGCACATGTTTTCAAAGTTTTGTTCCAATGGATTTTCACTTTACAGGAATCTTTTAGACCTTTTGGAAAATATATTTTTTGCTTTCCTGTTAGAAAAGAAGGCAGAGATGAGAAGCTAGCTAGTTATGTGTGATGCTAGCTAGCAGTCTACAGCCAGCTAGCCAAGCTCAGTAAAAACATCAGATAACTTTCACAAACTGCTGTTTCCAAGATGATAAAACATGTTGATTACTGAGCTTTAGAGGTGGCTTTAGGCAGATTTTCTAACTGCACAGAGTCAAGACTGCTAGTCACGCTAGCATTAGCCTCATATTTAACGTACAGATCCTGTAAGCGTGTTACATTTCTTGACAAGAAAGCAAAAAAGGACTGTTTCCCAAATCTCCCACCATTTCTCCCACTCATGATGTTCTTCCACCACCCCTGAAAAAAAAAAATCCCAAACGTGTTACTCTATGTGCATTACTTTTTAAAACATAGCTTCAATTTTATACACAAGGCTCACAATTTTCACTTAAGGCGAGTGAAGCTCATTTGACTGCTTGTTGACACACAGACAACTGAGTTCACATTTCAAGTAATTTGTTCAAATTTCATATTTAAAATGTTTTTAATAAAAGTTTCGAGAGTGCTTTTGTTGCTTTCAACGAGGGAACAGTGGTCAGAATCCGAACACGACAGCTCCAACCCATCGACAACAAATCAGGCTGATTTTTTAAAAATGTGCAAGCAGAGAGCTCAGAAATTATTTAGTAAAAGGAAAACATTCAAAGACAAATTCACCAACAGATAAAATAACCATTTTGATTGGAAAAAAAAAAGACCGAAATAGTAGAAAGCTTGGGCTCGACACACTTTTAAGTGAGTCTATTTGAAAATCTTCCTCTTCTTCCTTAAAGTCTTGAGACACCTACAGCTGGTTCAAGAGCACATTCATGTTTTTTAATTGTTGTGGTCTTGTTGGTACGACACACACGGCTGGGGAGGTTAGTTAGATGTTCTTAAACCTTACTGGAAAGCACTGCATGATGTGACTGTGCTCCCACACCACCGTAATCCAGTCAGAGCTGATGGAAATTCACATGCGTGCTTTTCAGAAGGGGAGTGAAGGAGGAAGAGGAGGCAGCTTCTCTTAGCTAAAGAGCTGTCGTCTGTCCGCTCGGGAGTGCAAAACAAGTTCTTCATTGAATCAACAGTAATAAAACAGCATTAAAATGACATCAAGTAATCAACTCTACAAGAGAGGCTTGTACAGCCTTCCTGATAAACATTCCTCTGTCCTTTCAGCAAACCCTCGCCCCTGCTCTGCTCGTCTTGCCTTTCAGCGACTTCTCGTTTCTCTCCCGACTTTTTTCTGAGCTCGTGTGGAGGCGGGATTGGGGTTGCATCAGGGGTCTGTGGGTCGGGACACGGCAGCGATGCCACGTCATGCCCCGCTAAGGTGTTTCCGGGGGGTGGAGGGCAGGGTGTCAGCTTATCCAGACTGGACTGCACAGGTTGAGAAAACTCCTGGATCAAGTTTGATGGGACCCAGGGAGGTTCCCGTCCATCCCTGATGATCATTGAGGAAGTCAGAAGGTGGCGCTCCCCGCCCACCTCGGTATCGAGGACAGGGCGGGCACCACAGCTTATCAGGCCTGGAGGATGGGGAAGGTGGGTGGGTTTGAAAGGTTTGGGACTCTAAAGGAAGGGATCCATCCAAGAGACCCACTGGAAACATACTGTAGCCATCTTGAGGTTTCACATCACGCTGGTCTTTTTCTGGGGTCTGAACACCAATAACAAAACAACCGCAGGAGTCCACAGTCTTCGACACTTGGCCTGTCCCAACAGCTCTCATTCAAGCAACCAAGCAGCAGTAAGGTGGAGACGAACGTTACCCACTGGGGGACATCGACTTCCAGTCCCGGCTCCTGCAGAGTTGTTCACATCCGCAAAACAAGACGTAACTTTTCTCCATCTCCTCAACCCCCACTGCGTTGGTAAGGGAAGGGGTAAAGGGGACAGAAGGGGAGGGAGGGGGATCTCAGGGAGAGAGGTGTGCAAAGAAAGGTTTGGGGGGAGGAGTGTCACAAGGCCACAGCGGTGCAGGGGTGTTTGAGCTTGCAGGGCAGCACTCCTCTGTTAAGCTGGTAAAACTCCACCAGGTGAATCAGATCGGTGAACTTGGTGGCGCCGTCGTCGAGGCTGAAGAATACCTGACCGTCCTCCTCACACTTCAGAGCAGAATCGGACGGAGGAGAGGAGATAGTTTAGACACCACATGACAGAGACTGATCTTTATGAGGTAACGATAAAACATGGAACATCCAGGTCTACATCGCCAGGCCACTGTACTGCATTTATAAGATAAGCAAATGATTTCATATCAAACACACTAATGAAGCCAGTTAGATTTAAGACATTATCCCTTCTCAGACCTGGAGATGACATTAATATTTTCAGTACAGTCTGTGGAGTGATCCGACTGGCTACTTTTTGCATTTCTTTGACGATATAAACTCCAAACCAACAAATTTTATCCTCCTACAGATTAGTTTGTCTATCAGTCACTTTGATCCACACTAGAATATCAGGGATGGATGAACATGAATGATTTTTATCAACTGGGCATTTTTAACATTTACACTTTTGACTGAACGGACAGAAACTCCACTGGAGGAGAATGGCCATCTATTATCAGTAATCAGTCTGAAATACATATATACCTTTTTCCAAATAAAGTTAAAACACTTTCTCCATGCAACTGCATCTTTGTCAATAACTGATTGATCTGTTCCCTCTGAGCTGTTTCGAGCTGATTTCTGTCCTGCAGCAAAATAAATCTAAGTGCACGGCTGCCTGGGAGGAAGCAAAAAACACATTTAAAATCTTAAAAAAGCACAGCGTACTTTGGAAACGGGTTGGTGGTGATGCTAAATGAGTGTAGCAGGCTCGCTGGGCAGAGTCTGCCGTAGGGTTTTTTTACACTATAGAATTAAACTGCATCGCAGACTATTTTTAAAGATGGACCTGCTTCTGGGGACAAATATACTCCTTTGCCGGTGATGCCAACAAGCCACAGCAGCTGGTTTTTGAGACTGTGACTGCAGTTTAGCAGTCAGACTATAACACGAAGTCAAATTTGTGTCATTTTCACACCGTTTCTCATTTCAGTGCATCTTAACAGAGGCGGTAAGATTTTTCTTTGTCATCACACTGACCGGTAGGATCTGGAAGTGCTTGATCTTCTGGTGGTGGCACAAGGTGAGCACGAATGCCTTGGGATTACTCTGACTGTCCCGCAACAAGAATAACCTGAAAGAAAAAGATTACATCATGAGAACTAGTTCAACCACCTTATAAAAAGGACTGAAATATCTACCATGAATTTCCATATGCTTGATACACACTTTGAATATACTGCTCAAAAAAATTAATGGACCACTTTGAAAACACATCATATCTAAACTGAAAAAATCACGTTGGATATTACTCCACTGGGTAATGTGTTAGGATGAAAAGATGCCACATCGTTTGATGAAAACTAACAGAAAGCTGAATTCAAAGACACCCTGAAAATTTAAAATGATGCAGCAGGTTATGGATGGTGTACCGGGGCATCTCCTCCCAGATCTGGACCAGGGCATGACTGAGCTCCTGGGCTGTGTGAGGTGCAACCTGGTTGCTCAGATGCACTGAAACATAGAACATAATGTGGGGTGTTCTGTTGCATTTAGGTCAGGCCAGCAGGGCCAATCAATGGTATCGATTTCTTCATCCTCCAGGAATCGAGTGGATACTCTCACCACATGAGATCAGAGATTCCCATTCAACAGGAGGAAACCAGGATCCACCCAGCACCAGAGTAGGGCCTGAGAATGGCTCCAAAGACTCCATCCTGATACCTAATGGGAGTCAGAGTGCTGTCACCTAACCTGTAGAGGTCGTGTGTTCCTCCATGGATAGGTTTTCCCAGACCATCATTGACCCACCACTCAATCGGTCATGCTATGTTACAGGCAGCGTAATGTTCTCCACGGCTTCTCCACATCCTTTAATGTCTCTAATACGTGCTCAGGGTGAACCTACACTCATCTGTGAAAAGTACAGAGCTGGTATTCTATGGCAAAAGCAAATCTGGCTCCAATGTCCTGGGCAGTGAGCACAGGGTCCACTAGGGGATGTCGGGCCCTCAAGCATCATGAAGTCAGTTTCTGATTGTTTAGTCAGAGACATTCGCACCAGTGTCCCATTCGAGGTCATTTTGTATCTCTGGCAGCGCTCACCCTGTTCTTCCTGGCACAATGGAGCAGATACTGATCCTGCTGATGGGTTAAAGACCTTCTACAGCCCTGTCCAGCTCTCCCAGATTAACTGCCTGTCTTCTGGAATCTCCTCCATGCTCTTGAGACTGTGCTGGGAGACACAGCAAATCTTCTAGTAATGGCTCGCATTGATCTTGACTGGTTTGTACTGTCCAAGCTGTCCAGCCTTGGTAGGGTCCAGGTATCGCCTCATGCTACCAGTAGTGACACAGACCCAAGCTAAGTGCAAAACTAGTGAAAGAAACAGCCAGAAAAGATGAGGCGGGAAAAATGTCAGTGGCCTCCACCTGTTTGGGGGTTGTCTCATCGTCGCCCCTCTAGTTCACCTGTTGTTTATTTCATCAACACCAAAGCAGCTGAAGCTGATTAAAACGTCCTCTGCTACTAACCTGACCACATCAATCCCCAGAAGTTTGACTGACTTGATGCAATATTCTGATTAAAAAGTGCTCCAGGAATTTTTTGAGCAGTGTTTTTTTGCAGTTTCTGGAAAACATTCAAACTTGCTGTGTGTGTGTTTCTGCTTTGACGAACCAAAGCACAATCATCCTGACAGCACTTGGACTACTTTGACAAAATTATCTTCCGACCGGAGCCTTCACGTGAGGAGCGCTCTCCGTTCGACAATGTCGTAACTCACCCATCGACTTGGCCTTGTTGTATCATCATTTTGTGGGCTTCCTCTCTCATGATACGACCATGAAACCACACCTGTGTCCTGTGAATCACTGAAAAACACAGGGAGTTTTTCACACACACACACACACAGACACAACCATATTATATATATTTGTAAATGTATTTATACTGCTCATGGTGTTATTGCTAGGCTCAGTACCTGTGCTCAGAGAAGATGGATGCAGAGGACTGGGACTGCCCAAGACATTCATACGCTGGCTCCTTTTCTATAAACACCACATTTATCGTTAGATATCATCATGTAAAACTAAACTCCCTGCATTAGTCAAAGTCCCTAAGCCATGCCCATCACGTGTGTAACCCTCATGGCAAACTAAACTATGTTTAAACATCACTTTGGACCAAAACAAACACAGGAATGTTTTACTGTGAATCACTCTCTTCAATTCTTTTTAGTCCAATAACAAACACTCTACTGAAGGATGCACAGCTTTGGTAAAGTGCAACTACTACACACTTTAATTCACAAAGAAAACGCAGCCTTGTAGGGTATGAGAGGCTTAGTGCATACCATCCATAAAAGCAGTCAATTTTTAAATATACTGGGAAACTCCTGCATATTCTGTGGTAATCGCACAAAGCAGCTGCGGCTTGAATACGTTTGCACTTCTAGTCAGATATCCTCTATTTCCTATCTAACCCCACCCTGCAGAACAGAATCCTTGCTCCCTCTGCTTACCCTCCAGGTATGCCCTTCTTCCAGGGCGGCGCTCTGGGCCTCGATGGGGTTGTCGATGACGCGACCGGTCCGCCCGGAGAAGTCCATGGCAACCAGGGAATTCTCAGATACGCTTCGCTGTTTGGAGAGCGGCAGGGTGGGTGGAGGGTGATGGTGGTTGGGTAGGGGTTAGAGGGAGGGGGCATACAAGAAAAAGGGTGGAGGGGTGGTAGACAAGGGTCAAGGGTTAAACAAGCCAGACACACTCACTGGAGCATGACAAATCCTGTCTGCACACAGACCCACTTTAGTCAATCCACAAATGCCCCTTTTGAGGAAAAGCACAAGCCTCTGCTGGCTGGGGGACTCAAATTAGTCAAGACTTTCTTATAATATAATATAATATAATATAATATAATATAATATAATATAATATAATATAATATAATATTACTCTTCACAAAATAATCCAACATTAATTTTTCCCATTTTTAGGAGTCGTTGTTATATTATATCCTAGCACCTTTGAGAAGAAGTTACATTAAATGAACATAATGCTCGAAGATCTGCTGTGTTAATTTTTTCTCACGGTCTTTCTGACCGTTTCCTAAAAGCTTTGATAATCATACACCGTCACTCTATTGAACAAGCGCAGTGGCAAACCCAGCTTCAGCTTCCAAACTGAACGCTGAGTTCAGGAAACATCAGGAAAATTGAGTGGAACTGCTTTTAGTTTGAGCTGCCACTGATCGCCTAACACTTTCAGATAGCGGGGTTTGTGAGTATGCGTGTGAAGTTTTAAACACAGGCTAACTCGCTGTAGAAGTGTCTAATCTTAAGGTTAGGGCACAGACTTCAATTCTATTCACAATCTTTCCAAAGGAGCTTATGACACCTTTTTCAACACCTCATGGTGCGAGGGGATTACACATCACACCTGTAAAAAACAATTCTCCTGTTAACTGTGCATGTGTTGGAACAGTATGTAAATATTCACTTTTTAAAAAAATAGGATAAGATGTTTTTTAATGGATGTCATTTTGCTGTAAACTGTCTGCTTACATTAGCAGCAAACGTCAGCAGTAGCCTGGTCATCCGAATATAAAAATCTATTTCAGCATTTCAATAAAACAAGTTTTTTCCTCTTAAGAAGCTTTGAGCTTCGTCCCAAGATTACTATCGGCTAATTCATGCGTCAATCTGGATTCGTCCCTGCTGTTAGAGCAGAGTTGCAGTAAGGCGATGTCACAGAGAGCAGATCCTCACCACAGGTGCAGTAAAAGGCGAGAGGTTAGACTTCCTCTGCTGGGGCACGTTGTAGCTCTGATACAGCACTATTCCGTACTACGGGGGCAGGAGAGAGGAGAAGGCATCAGCTTAACATCCAAGCACCAACTAACTCATTAATGTTTAACTGCGAAGCAAGAAAAGTGCAGGGTTTTTACTTTGAACAGCCTGAAGGCAGTCATCCAGCAAGTCCTGCTCTGCTCGTCCTCCGCACACAGCATTTTCAGTTCCTTGCAGTCGCTCCTCACTTTGCTGGGCTGTCGACCAAACAGAGGACGCAGCGGGGAATTAGATTAACGAGATGCACATCGCAAACATGAACAGTAATAAGGCTTCATGTGACCGTGCCAGAGCACAGTCACAGTCAAACCACTGTTGTGCTCAGCAGCACAGGTCTGCGCTCTAATCACAGCAAAGATCTGACTGCTTTGGGGGTTAGAGTGGCAATCAGGAGTCGATTGAAAAGAATTTAGCATTTTCCACGTGACCCAATCTTTATTAAATATTTATACACTGCATGCAGTCAAATAACATGAAAGTAAGTGATACAGTAAGGTTAGGAAAATCTATTTTTTTATGATTTATTTATGGACAGAGTTGCGACTTTCCAGGCAACTCTGTCCAAAATCACAGCTTAGACTTTTTCCTTTTTCCTTTCCTCCTTCCATCACCAACAAGGGCATAAGGGACACTGCTCCCTAAATACAACCCCATAGATAAATTCATTCATGTCGCCATGGCAACAAACCCTACCACCCCCTCACCCCACCAAGAAAAATCCCTCACCCAATCCTGCACTGTCACCCCCGCTGACAGCATCTGACACGCCAATCGTCTAGCACTCGTGTGTGTGTGTGTGTGTAAAAGAGAGGTGAAGAGGTCAGGTGGGCCAGATTCCCTGTGCCATCCCTGCTTATCCCCCTGAGCTTATCCCAGATCAGCAGGTACGCCCACCGCAGATACCACCCGGAGCGGGGCGCACTACTGAGAGTGTGTTTAAACCCCTGCTGTGCTGTTTTAAACCCATGTGTCCTCACAGACACGCCCACTACATACAACGCATGCAGAGAAGTACTGACTTTAAATAAAGATTTCAAAACTGTCAAAAAATCTGTTTTTTTATATTAGAAAAAATCAAATGAGACATTTTTTAGCTATTAAAGAACAATAATATTCATCTCTAGTGGGAGCCCTGAAGTTAAAAACTGCACTTCCTATAATGACCACTAGAGGCTGACTCTAAGACTGAACCAATCCCCACAGACTCCCATGTTAAAAAGCACAACTTCCCAGCATAAATAAGCATGTTTACAGTCTGTTCAGCCAGTTCTTTCCTCTATAACCACAGAATGAGAGGTGAGATGTGTTGTTACTGACGCACTGAAACTTTATTAAAGTTGAAGTTATGCAGTATTAGCGGATTAGCAGCTGTAGCCGCTAGCTGCCCGCTGAGCTAAATTTCAGCTAATCTGAACCACTGCACTTTAACTGTGTTTGTGCTGTTGGTACCTTTTGGAGCATTTTGTGTGTAATTATGTGGCTAATAATGAGGCCTGAAGTGTGACTACTTCTACTAACAAACTATTCGAGAACTGTTAGCTTCAACTTCCATGTTATTTAGCAAAAATTAGGATGAAATCATGGCTAAATATAGCACATATCTGTTTATGGATGCAGCTTTCTGACCACCCAAACGCAGTCACCTCTGGCTCCACAAAAATAACAACCAGGCGGCCAAAATCCTAAAAATCAGAAGCCTCAAAACATGATTTCACAAACCAGTAGGTGATGTCACTGTGGCTGCATCTTTATTTACAGTCTGTGGTTTGTCTGTGTGTTACCTTGATGCAGAACTGGTAGTCTGTGGGGGCGTTGTGAAGTTTTCGGCCCGTGATGACGGTGAAGACGTTACTGTCCTCCAGGTCGGACAGTACCTGCAGGTGCCGGGGCTCCTGTGGGGGTTGTGAGGGTGGCGATATATGATTTAAGCTAATGCACAACAAGCGCAAACACACACACACACAAATTGTGGGATTAGGCAGCTGACAAGCCCTAGATCTAGTTTACTTCACACCACTTCCACAATCAATAAAGCAATACTTTCTCACCTTGGATGTTCCTTTAGTGGAGTAATAAAGGCCGGAGCGGCGCAGGAACATGTAGAGCTTTTTCCAGGACTTGCGTCCCGGCTCTTTCACATGCAGATAGCCCTGAATCTCTGGACAGCTGCTCGAGTTCAGAAAGTTCTGGAAAATGAACGCACAACAACATCTATCGTTAATACTGCTGCAGGGCAAGGATATTATAATTAACCAAAACTAAATATGGTTTGTTAACTAAAATAAAATATAAATAAATAAAATTAACTGAAATAATTTGGTGGAACTTGGAAAACAAACTAGTTTGAGTGTTTGTTAGTTGGGTAAAAAGTTTTATTACAGCTTGCCTGATGAGGCATTGGTGGACGTGTTTGCTGAAAGTCTGGACGAGTCTCTACGAGTCAACCGCGTTCAACACGTTCTGTGTTTTTATTGCAATAACTGTGATGATTTTCCCCAAATCTGACCTGTGACCTTAAAACTCACACTGAAGCTAAGAGAAAACAAAACTAAACAAACATTTTCAAATATTAAAAACTAAACTGAATTTAAAAAAACAAGCCAAAATAAAATAAAAATAACTATAATAGCACTGCTGCAGGGGAAGTGAATGCAGCACTGTTTGGGTATCTGCTTTTAAAATAGATCATAATGAAAATCTGTGAAAAATGAATATCGCAGCGAAATAATGAGGCAGCTTATTTTATATTTCTAAAAAATTGGGAAGCAAATTGAGCGCAGCACCATAATCTGTGCATGCGCATGCATATTTTTGGATGAACAGATGGTAACGCTCTTGAGATATCATGGCTCGTATAATTCATAGTATTGCTTCACTGAGTCATCAACTCACCTGTAAGAGCTGTGACGGAGGAATTGAGCCATCAGACTCCTGACAAAAAGCCACCATCTGCTCCGGAAAAAAGTTCTGGATGGAAAAGACGCACGGAGATCGCCAGTGAGCGAGAGACAAAGAGACAAAGAAAGAGAGAGAGGCACTACAGACCACTTAGGATAGTGCTTCTCTATCCAGAGTGTGTGTGTGTGTGTGTATGTGTGAGTGTTCAATCAACACAAGGACTAAGAGCCAAAGTGGTGCGGAGACAGAGAGAGAGGGCACTCCAGCCCTCGGAGTAGATGCAGTATGATCTCACCCGCTGATGTAATCCCCTTTAACCAGCAGCGCTACTCTTAGCGTGATTGACAAGCCGTGGCCAGCACTCCTGTGTTTTACTGTGCTCATTACCACAGAGCTGAGGTCACCTGCTGGCTCTGACACACACCTAAATCACCCACAGCAATAATGTCACCGTATACCCGGCCAGCACACAACAGCAACAGCCCCACGCCAGAAAAGATGCCACGCAGGCCGCTCGGCGCCGAGTCGCTGGCTGCCAAAAGTAGGGACGTGTACGTCTTTAAAAAACGACGATCAGCTTTGCATTTTGAGATTTTAGCACCTGTCTGAAGGTAGGATAAAAAGATAATGATGAGTTTTAACTGAAACCGTTAGCTTCTTCCAGGAGGAAGAATGAAACAGGAAACGCAGAGAGTGTAGCTAAAATACTTTAGCATTGCCATTTAGCCGTCATGTAATGAGGGCTTAAAACCCCAGCTGCGACTCTTTGTCTTATTGACGATTCCTGAATAGAAAAATGACTAAAAGGTGATTTAAAAACCCAGAAAACACAACAATCCTCTAATTTTTGGCTAAAACGATTAAACACAGAGGTGCTGGCTGCTAGCAACAAATTTGTCGCTGCATTTCAAAAACATCAAAAGATGAAAAACCTTTTGAACCCCAATTTCTCTCCCCCTCTCTCCCTCTTTGTGTGTGTGCGTGCTGCTGTGTCTACGTGGCTCTGTGGGGGATGCGTGCTAAACCGAGGCAGTCACAGAAAGGTCACTTTAGGGATGCAGGAGACTCACCAGGGGGTTCCTGAAGAATTCATATTTGGCATAATTCTTCCTGAAGAGGAATTTACTGTCACCGCTCATGGAGGCTTGAACCTGAACCACCAGCTCGTGGTCCTCCACACATCTCTCTGAATGAGGGCACAGACACAGACAATGTTAAAAAAAGAAATTGCCCTCTGGGGACGGCGTCGGACAGAAACCGTCCGGTTTTAAATCTGCGAGCGCGGCTTTTAGAGCTCATTTGTATACTAAAAAGATTTTCATGTCAAAAACACCGTTCATTGTTCTTATTTAGATTCATTTTAGGGATTCATCCACAGCATAACAAGCAGCTCTTTTGCATACATTTCCACTTTTTTTCCTCCCTCCTGTGTTGACAGCATATTTAGAAGTGTCCTTGTCACTAAAGGACTTACTGTGAGCTGTAACTGCATCCCCTAGCAGGCTGAACAAAACAGCTTTTGAGGCTGAACCTGAATGTAATTCCAGTGAAATGTGCCTTACACTGGAACCGTGGAAGGATATTGTTATTTTAAAGTCTCTCGCAGAGTCACAGAGTATTAATAAGCTGTTCACATATATGAATAAATACAAGAACCTTTTGTTTGCTTGCTGCCAATCAGAAGAATGCTGGCTTGTTTCAGATAGAGGATGAACAAAGATAATAATAAAGATTATTTAGAACTGTGATTCATGGAAAGCTGCTATGCCAGAGTCCATGAGATCCATATAAGATGTCTCCAGCAGAAATGTAGCCACATTAACCCCCACATCAGCATTGTGTACAATGACGCAGCAAGAAATAAATACTTTTTATTTTAAAAAAAACATCGCCTGTTACTAAGAGACGGGCGAGGAACTAAGAGGTTAAATAAGGAGGGGCGGTGAAGAGGAAGAAGCGCTGTGAGGCAGAGGAGGGAGGAGGTGAAGGTGGTGGTGTTGGAGGAGGAGGGGGGAGTTTGCAGGAAGATGATGTCATTTATTTAGGCTGATTGCTGAGAGCAGCAAAGCCATAAGCAAAGTACAAACCACAGACAAACACACAACCACACATTACAGGCTCACACAGACCTAACCTGCTCACTGTGCACCACGGAGGCCCAGTTACTTTCTTTGTGTGTGTGCGTGCTTGTGCGTGCGTGTCCTCGTCTATCTTAAGTTGAGGGCATATGATCTCAGAGTGATGCAGGTGAGATTTGATAGTGATGGGATGTTCCAGTCAGACGTGGACGTGCAGGCAGGGCTCTCCTGTTTCACTGAGGCGCAAACGCACATTTCTAAACTGAAGCTGTACTCACTTCTTCTTTTCTTGCTTAGCTCTGGCTGTAGTTAAGGGGTGGAAATGTCTGGACTCTGCGCGCGTCCGCTCGTGCACACCCTCGTTGGCTACAAGCGGGGGAATTTCCTGTGGACAGTCAGGAAAGGGCCGATTGGCTAGAAAGGCTAGGGGCTCGTCCAATAGAGACCGGCGATTGGTTCCTCGCAGCTCTGGTATGACGCTTCAGTCCCAGGCCTCTCCGCCCTCCACCCCCACCTTCTGTCTGTCTCTCTCTTTCTTTCTCCCTTCATCTCTCCTTCCCTTCTTCCCTCTCCTCTCCTCTCCTCACCTCACATTCCATCGCTCCGGTGCACTTTTTTTTCCCCCCCCAGAAACGCAGATCAAGCAGGAAAGCACAAAGCAATCCTTTGACTCTAAAAATACGACTCGAGAGGAGGAAAGCCTCATTGAGGACAAAGGCAGACCCAGAGAAGAAGAAGGAAAAAAAGTAAAGCTTCAAAAGGGACACACGGCAAAAGTGAAGAAACGAAGCACGAGTCCTATGTTTTCCTTTTTTTTCCCGCCCCCTCTACCTCTTTTTTCTCGCTCCCCCCACCCTCTCTCTGAGCAAACTATTTGGGAGGGAAAAGCATGTGAGTAGAACATGGAAAATGCTTAATCCTACAAGTACCACACCTCCCTCTCAAGTGGTAAAGCCATGCAAACACTGGTGCTGTGATCAAGTGAATACACAGGGCACACACACCTGCAGAAAAGCACACGCAAGGCAAATATGCAGAGA